AAGTTCACTTTAGAAACACACACTGTTTTTCTGAGAGCCTAGTTTTAAACCAGATTTAACTTTACGCTGGTTGCTTCCAATTGAAGCCTATTGGAGAGAAACCTTGATTTACAAATGGTAAAGGAAATGTACCCTTTGATGCAAGTTTATTATGTTTATTTCGGTGATCTATTTATTCGTTGGTTATTTTACCATTTTATAGCCTGCCTAACTCAAAAAAAACTCTGAGAAGGTCAATGAATGAAAACAACACTCAAGAGTGAGCAAGGATATCCAAGATAATAAAAGAATGTATTACAAACAAAAATGACAATCTAAAAAAATTAAAGATTCTCAAGATCCATCTCAACCTCTGTAAGATAAGATTTGCCAGGGAAGTCATTTTACCTGAAGACAGGTTAGGAATAAGACACAACTTCTTCCTCATTCAATAAGAAACACTGGGGGGAAGGGGATTAAAGTTATTCTTCCCTTCAGCAAACAGACTAATAGAAGACGTGCCAAATACTTTTCTTTTCCCAGAGAGAGCAAATGCTTCATCGAATGAAAGGTTATTCTTCCCTTTAGACCACCTGTTGTATAGCTGGCAACGGTTGGAGAGAAATGGGATTGAACGTCTCAGTAATTGCTTTTCTTCTATAACTGCCGAAAGCATTGCAATTGGCATGAGCATAAAGCTGGTGAGCAGGCAACACTCTCTGCTGCTTTTTCAGGTTTCCAAGAACACACTTATTTCATTATATTTCTACTAGCTGATAACCCAGCGTTGCCCAGGTATTTATTTATCCCAATCCTGTATAAGACAACTTCACCCTGAGCCCTGATTTCGGCGAGAATTGAATTAGTTAAAAATGTTTTCCCTGCGCCCGCAGAAGTGTCAAGTAAAATGATACCACCTTGTTGTTTTGCTAGCTGATCCATGATCATTTGGTATGCTTTTTTCTGATCTTGATTTAGAAGTGGCTTCTTGTCCGCGATATACGCACTAAGCTGTTCGACATTGTAGTTCTTTTCTCGTATGTAATCTGTGAGATGTACGTCGTGTCGGTCTCATAGTGGTGCAGACAGGCCAAGTTGCAGTAATGTTTTATTGATCATCAAAACCTTGTTGAAAATGTCCAGACCAAACGTAATTTCTGATGTTGGATTTTCCCTCTTACCAGAGGGAGCCCCCTTGTGGAATACTGTGAAGCCGTTACCATGGCAATTCGACTGTGCTGTACAGTAGAAGCCATTTTAAGGCAGTGCAGTAGAAGCCATTTTAAGGCACAACAGGCTGTATCTTAACAGAACACACACCCTGAGGGGTGTTAGGGGTGTCTTACCCCCACAGTATTTCTTTCCAGAGAGTAAGTTATCTGTGTACCAAGTTTGGTTGAAATTGCTTGAGGCTTTCCAGAGTTATGCTGGTACACACACACATCTATTTTTATATATATAGATACCACAATCTCAAGATCTCTTGATGGTTCACAAAAGTTAAAGCAAAGGTTACTATAGATGAGATAAAACAAAGTACAAGTGCTATAAAAATTAAGACTAAGTCACACTTTAATATCAAGTAGTGCCAACTCATTTAGTCAAGCAACCTCAAAGGGCTTCAAAGCCCTTCTTAATAATAACTCCATATTGACCACCTTCCAAAGTGAAGCCAGGACGGTTGCTGATTTGACCAGCACTCTTTTCCATAGAGTGGTGGCCACCATCTTCACCCTGAGCCCCATTAATCTCACCTCATTTGGAGTGGAAACCCATATTTCCACTCATCACAAGCATATAGGAGAGTCATTTCTGCCTAGAGGTTGAGTGGTTAGGGCCTTTTTTAAAATAAAGTTGCATGGGTATCCATTTTGCTGGAAGATGTTGCGGAATAGGCGGTCTATTTCCTCTTTTTTGGTGTTTTGGGTTGCTGCAATGTATTTGTGTTCATCTGAACAATGTTCTTACACAGCTCCTCTTGCGGGACGTTGGGCTGTTATCTTAATAGTGGAGCATTCAGTTATTGTGGGTAGTTTTACATAGATTTGATGCCATTTCCTGTCCTGATCCCTTCTCCTATAATGGTTTGGCACATATTTCCCACCAAATCCTGCACCACCAGGAGCTATGATGGCGCAGTGGTTAGAATGCAGTATTGCAGGCAAACTCTGCTCACTGCCAGGAGTTTGATCTTGACCAGGTCATGGTTGATTTAGCCTTCCATCCTTCCAAGGTTGGTAAAATGAGAACCCAGATTGTTGGGGGCAATATGCTGACTCTGTAAATCACTTAGAGAGGGCTGTAAACACTGTGAAGCAACATATAAGTCTAAGTGCTATTGCTATCTCCCATCACAACTAAAATTCACTCACCTCCTATATCATTTTTCCCATTAAACTAAAGAGGAGATATCTTGCATCCAATTGCTAACAACAGTTTCCCACAAAGTCATCACTCCCCTGACATCATCTCTTCCATGCCTTTCACTTCACCCAACACTTAGAAAATGTCCATCCCCTGGGCTTGTGAACCACATTATTTCATTTAAATTGAATTTAATAATTTATTTAAAAGGGAGTGGAATATTTAATTGATGTATTTCGTGAAATCAAACACATACACACATATATTTACACATACATACATATGTACTATGAAGCAATAGGATAGAAAGAATATTGATTTATTTGAAATTTGGTGTGGGAGAAAACTCTTGAGATATCAAGCACAATCAAGAAAACAAATGAATCATCAAAGCAATCAATCCAAAATTCTCCCTCAAGGCAAATTAACCTGGCTTAAATTATCCTACTTTAGACATATTGTGTGAAGCCACAGCTCTCTGAAAAAGAGAAGAAAGGATGGTCATTGTAACTTAGAAGGACTGAGTTACAATGTGGATGAGTACATAGTTGGGAGGCCTAAAAGACCAGGTTAAGGACAAAGAGACAGACAGACATTTTTTTTATCCCATCTTTATTATTTTTATAAATAACTCAAGGTGGTGAGCATATATAATACTCTTTTGTTCTCCTATTTTTCCCATAACAACAATCATCATGGAGAAAATCTATGTCATCGCTGGGACCCAACACTGACTAATGGCACGTAATCAATATTCACACTATAAACAATATATTACTTCATATTTTGCAATAATAAGCAAGTGTCTTAACATTAAAGGGATTGATGAGAAATAAATGAGTGACAAAACTGACATTTACTGAAAATTTTATTCTAAACCCATGTTTTGTTCTAAAAGGTTATTATCACCCATATCAAAACAACAATGTAACCCAATGAATGTCTGCTGCTAAGGGTGCCAGTACTTACAATGTCTGTGCAACACTTCTGTAGCAAACTTTCTTCAGGATGAAGAATAAAGTGGAAAACATTTTGTGGTTCTCTGAATTGTAAATCTTTGGCATCAGCTCTTGAACGAGATCAGTAAACCATGATGTAACCATTCGCAGTTCTGAGTAATTGAATGAATCAATATGCTGTAAACGTTTAGATATCTTATCTTATTTATACAAGCTAAGTTAAAGAAGTTATGTGGTGAGAATGTGGGACTAGATTCTGCAGACTAGAAATACTACTGCTTTCTTCATCTCTTATCCACTTAACAGCAAGGTATATATGCAATGTGTCTTTAGAATGAATTAGTTACCCTAAATTCAGTGGAATCTGCTTGTGCATGTTCAACTGTGAGTGAACACTGAGTCATGAAGTTGTAGGAAGTGCATGAGTGAGTCTTCCATTTCCCCCAAATCTGCTAACAAAATTGTCCTTTTGGCTTAAGCTACTGGCAACTGGAAGACAATCTTCACTGTTGGTGTAGATAGAGTGACATCTACTGATCATAATAAGCCACACACTTTCTCTCTTTTTCCAGCCAGTCTCAACATAGCATCCAGTAGATATACTCGACTAATTCCTCTAATCTCTAGTTGGGGGATAATGGAAATTGAAATCCAAATTTTTCAGGTAGTCTATCTGGGAAGGGCCCTTTGATTCATTGTTTCTTTTTTCACTGTGCTATTTCCCTACAACCTCTTCCAGGATCTAAAATTCTTCCCGTCTGAGGGTAAATGTTAAGGATGGTACTTTCCTAAATTCATCAAAGGAATTTCACAAAGGATTTGCACCTGTAATTAATATTTTCCTCATGAACAGTATTAGTATTATTCTCAAGTCGTTGTTATGATGACTAAAGAATTGACTTTTAATTCATGGTTATTAAGGCTGAATAGACTGATCATCTGGAAAGAAGCCTATGAATCACAGGAATAAACCTCAGTTGTTGTTTTTCCATACAGTAGTCTATGTCAACTCTCCCAAACTTCAACTCCCTATAGCTTCAGACAACATGGTCAAAGGCAAATTTAGGGTATGGCCCTTAAACTAGCAATCTGATCACCATTCTGACTCTTCCTCTCCCAGAACTCTTTCCTCAATTTTAGCTGGCCCATATAAAATCAATTATATCATTCTATTTAGCTTTTTAAAGTGGTTCCTTTGTTTGTTTTTTTCATTCTTTTCTCTACAGAGAAGCAACAAACTAAGGACACTGAAGGAACAAAAATTAAAGGTTTTACCTGTTTGGGATAATGTCACTGTTCTCCTACCTGGACTTTCAACAGCTGCTCCACCTCACTCAATTTTCCTTCACTTTTTTTTTTCCATTGAAAAACAATAACCAGCAATTAGCCTTTGAATTCCCAAAAGTACATGGAAGCATGACTTTGTTTTGGTCTAAGCGTGTTCCCTAAATTTAGGCAGTTACTCCTTGCTTCTATAGTATCTGTCAAAAGACACTGTGTGACTGAACTACAACTCCCAGCATCCCTCACCACTGTCCAAGCTAGATACCTTTGCTGAGGCTGTAATTCAGCCACAGAAGAAGGTCCGCCGGGTTCCTCACCCCTATGCTATGAGATCTGAAGAGAAGCCTGCCAGTGAAAAGGCAGGGCCTCACTGCCACTCCCAGGGAAGCAAAATCATGAGAAAAGACCTTTAGACAGAGAAAGCGAAGTTTCTTGCTTGAGCAAAGCAAGCTGCCAGAGAGTCTGGCAGCCCTGCAAACCTTGGGCAGAAAATTCACATGGTGGCACCTTCTGGCTGCTTCTCACAACTTCTTGTCTGCCTCTTTCTTGCACAGTGTAGCCACCACGGCTCCTTCGTTTTGATCCTTCGCAGGCTAGCCTTCTAACTTCAGGCTCGGCAAGCTCCTGCTTGTAGTTTCTCAGGGAAGACTTTGGAACGATGCCCCTTGCTTGCTAGCAGGCACGTCTCCCTGAAGTTGTCACCAATGAAGAAGGCACAATCTGGGTCTCATCCAACTGGGTGTAAATAAACAAGAGGGGAATGAATAGGCTTAACGTGTGTGTGTGTGTGTGTGTGTGTGTGTGTGTGTGTGTGTCCATACACACACACACACACACACACACACACACACACACACACATGTTCAGAAGCAGTGTGAAAATATAGTATATCTATGTTCGCTCAGGGTTTTAGTTATTTGTGCTGTGTTTTCCTGGCTTGGGACTACTAACTCTCTTTTGAAAGTTTTGTTAAAGTTTTCAACATGCTTAATTAGAACTTTACTAAACTATTGTACTGTGTAATTATTTGGAACTTCCTATTTTTAATGAATTGTATCCCGATTTGATTTGAGTCTACTCATAAAAAGTAGGGCAGAAATTCTATAGTAAATAAAATGTATTTACCTTAAAAGATATGCGCAGTCCTGATTCCCTGGAGAGTATAATGCTCACTATGATTTCTCTGTAAGTAGTAGCACCTGGTCAACCTTGTCTGGGCTCAAAGCTAAGTAGTTAGGCCTGAATAGTGTTGCAATGGGAGGCCACTACAAAATCCCAAAATTGTGTTTGCTCCGATTTCTCTCTCTCCTGCTCTTCTACCTATTAAGGATCCACCATGTGGTTGTGCCCTGAAACGAAAAAATATTGGAAGAAAATACATAGGTGGTTACAGGAATTAACAGGACATCAGATAGAATATACCCTAAAACTATTTCTCCTAGGGATAGTTAAAAGGAATTACGACAAAAAAATAATATATATCATTTTACATATAATAACCACAGTAAGGATAGCTTTCACGCAATGTTGGAGAAATACAAATATACCTTCTGAAGGCTTAGTACTTAAAAAAATATTTGATTGTGCTGAAAAGGACAAATTAACAATTGAAATGAAAGGATAAATAGATTCAGAATACTACGCAACATGGGAGAAATGGTAGAACTGGATTAAGAACAGAAAAAAGGAAAAGAAATAGACAAAATAGAAGTAGAATTAAAATATATAATAAAAATTTATAGAGTGTTGTTGACTTGGAATGTTAGGGTATGTAAATGGCCACAGTTATGCATAAGATGTGAGTAAGATTTGTTTATTTATAAAAACACAATAAAAATATTAATTAAAAAAAAGGACCCACCATGGACAAACTGAACAATGCCTTTAAATTACAATTTCTGGAACAGCTCTCCCCAATTTAGGTATCCTCCAGATGTGTGGAATTCAACTGCCCAAATTCCTTGGCCAACAATAGCCATTCCTAAGAATTCTGGATGTTAGTTGACATATTTGGAAGATTCCAAGCCAGGGAAGGCTCTGCTAGTTTTCCAGGCCTTAACCCTCCTGAGACATTAGCCCTATGTTGTTCAGTGGGATTTACTTTTTAGTAAGTTTTGGAGTCTTAAGAGTCTGAAAAAGTGCTTCTGGATCAGTATAACTTGAGCATGATTATACAGCTCAGGGGTGAAATCCAGCAGGTTCTGTCAGGTTCTGGAGAACTGGTAGAGGAAATTTTGAGCAGTTCAGAGAACTGGCAAATACCACCTCTGGCTGGCCCCAGAGTGGGGTGAGAATGGAGATTTTGCAGTGTCCTTCCCCTGCCACACCCACCAAGCCACACCATGCCCACCAAGCCACGCCCACAGAACAGGTAGTAAAAAAATTTGGATTTCACCACTGATACAACTACTGTTTTGGTGCCAGGAAGCACTTTCAGAAACAAATCACCGAACAATTGCCTCAGGACTGAAATATATTTGTCTCTATTGAGCAATTGCACCAGCAGAAATGCAGGGGAGTTTAGTGGAAGTGCCCAGGTACTTTTCCAGGTGAGGCAGAGGGACAGAAGGACCGAAATGGAAGTCCTTCACTCATTTTGAAATTAGTGATTGGGAGGAATAGAAAACAAGAGGCCTTCCTGAGGTTCTGTTTTTGGAAAGCAGACCAACTGCTAGTAGCTGGAAATGAACGATGTCCAAATCTTTACCTGATCTCCTCCAGTGGAAATCAGTTAGTTTTTAGAAAGGGATACGGGTAGTCCTCGAGTCATAACCACAATTGAGCCCAAAATTTATGTTACTAAGTGAAACATTTGTTAAGTGAGCTTGCCCCATTTTACGACATTTCTTGCCACCGTTAAGTGAATCATTGCATTTGTTAAGTTAGTAACACAGTTGTTAAGTGAATCCTAACTTTCCTTGTCAGGAGGCCGCAAAAACTGATCACGTGACACACACACACACGCACACCGGGATACTCCAGCCGCCATAAATATGAACCACTTGCCAAGCATCTGAATTTTGATCATGTGACGTGAAAAAATGGTCATAAGTCACTTTTTTTCAGTGCCATTATAACTTTGAATGGTCAATAAATGAACTGTTGTAAATTGAGGACTACCTGTACTATTGTCTCATCAGAGTTTACTTTCATCATTCAAGGCATGAATTCTGTACAGAACTGATAGAGAGGAGTCCCAAGGTGCCTTTTTTTTCCCCCAAGAAGCAATTGGACTTTCTGGTTTTTCTTTGAAGATGTTTCACTTCTTATCCAAGAAGCTTCTTCAGCTCTGAACAATCAACCAATGGAACAGAAGTTGCCTTCAGTAGTTGTGGGAGCTTCATCACTGGAAGCTTTCAAGAAGAGACTGGATTGCCATTTGTCAGAAATGGTGTAGGGTCTCCTGCTTGGATGGAGGGGGTTGGACTAGATGACCTACAAGGTCCCTTCCAACTCTGTTAATCTGTTAAAAACCAGAAAATCCAGTTGCCTCTTGAAAAAAAAGCACCTTTGGGACAACCATGACCTGGATGACTGGGAATCTCCATAGACCTGTAAGAGACGAGGCATTGCTGCTAAGAGGACAGAAATCTAGCAAGCCTTTAGAAATTTCATGGAAAGTCTTGTAAGGTAGCTTTTTCCTATTTCCCCCCCAGATCAGATAGACGAATTCCTGTAATCCCCAATTGGGCTGACTGGAGATTATGGTAACTGGAGGACATCAGATTGGGAAAATATACACTAAGAAAAGCCAAAAAGATTTTACCGTATTCCATCCTTTGGCTTTGATGAGATTAGTTTGATTTAGAAATGTAACAGGGTTACAGGTATCACCATAATAATCTAGAAACCGTATACGGTTGAAAATTCAAATCCTAGTAAATTACTGCGAGTTTTCTTGCAGAACCATTCCTTTTTCCAGTCGCCTTCATTAGTCATTTACAACAAGGTAGATAGCTTGTAGACAAAGACCTGTCCCTACTTGTATCTAGCTGTAGCGCAATCATATCCGGGCAACATGGATTTTCCCCAACAACACTCCCTTCATCCTGTCCCCAGGACATGACTCAAATTGCCCTAGGTTATCATTAGCTGTAATAATAATAAAGTATTTTTCCTGCTTGCTATAATATTATCCAAGGCAGCCTCAAGGTGGGTAAAATTTGTTAGGTGTACAGGTGAACTAGCAAGAGGTTGAGAGGTTTGTTTGGCATTTCACATTGGTGAAAGCAGGTCCCTTCCCTTCTGCTTCTCAGTCAGATCTATCTATTACCATTCCTCAATACTCTCCCAAAAAAACAGGATACAATTTGACATATGAAATGTTTAAAAAATATTATTTTCAGGGAGAGGATCATTACCAAGCAAATCTCCAGGAATGATATGATGGAGACTTGTAGTTACTACACACAGTCCTAGTTCTGTACTGCTCCACTGCTGGACCCCTGGACAAGTCAACATTTGTGTAGCACAATGATAATTTGTAACATGGTCATCGGTTTCTGTGTAGCAGTCGGATCACACCATAACCAAAAATTTTTCCACATGCACAAAAGGGTGAGCAGCAAAGTTTTGCATGGCTTGTTACAATTAATGAGTTGCATTCATGCTGTTATGACAATAATAAAGATTGGATTGATTGATTGATTGATTGATTGATTTGCATCTTGCATAACTTGAGGACTGTCTGTGTTTAAATATAAGGGACAGGTTGGAGCAGGAACTACTGCTATGTCAGGGGTTTAGTGCAATGGTGCTGGACTCTCCTGGCTCAATTTTATGGTCTTTCCTGTGTTGTGCAAGAGTGAAACATTGTGAAGTGAAATAAAAGAAAAAGAAGTACATAGCTTCCTTTGTGATGTTTTCCCCCCTTGTATTCGAGGTGTGACCAAATGAGCTGCAAGAATTGAGGTGCACAAAAACAGATAAAATAATGCAAGCATCACACCATACCATAACCCATTCCTAGTGAAAAAGGAGCATAGTGGATGTCTATGGAGATTCTCAGTCATCCAGGTCATGGTTGTCTCAAAGGTGCTTTTTCAAGAGGCAACTGGACTTTCTGGTTTTTTCTTTGAAGACATTTCACTTCTCATCCAAGAAGCTTCTTCAGCTCTGAAATGGGAAATGTCTTGCTGGCAGATAAAAAATATGGGGGTGGGGGTGTTCAGAGAATTGGGGAGAAAGGACAGCAAAAGACAGAAAGCAGACAGCAGGGGTAATTGTCTGCCCCTCAAGTGAATGCAGATCTTAGACAAAAAGAGAGAGAGATTTTTTTCATCTCTGATTTCCCACATAAAACAAATTCAAAGGTGGTTGGAACTCAGGAAAAGAGGATCTGTGGCCCAAAACCCAGAGGCCTTGAGCAATGCTGAAGTAGAGAGACATTATAGGAACAGTAGTTAAATAAAAATTTGTCTTTCTTACTGCATTTGTCAAGATTATTTCTCATGTGCAAGCAAGGGGCTACTTGGGCTTGTGGAAAATCATTTTTTTTCTTTATTTTTTTTTTTCCAATTCCTATCTATCTGTGTTCAGCAAACAATGATTCCACTTACACAAAGCACAAATTAAGTCTTCAAATGTTGTGTGCAACATTTACTACACATATAAAAATATGAAATATAAAAACTGTCCTTTGGTTGGAATCAAAATTGCATCCAAGAATGCATTTATATGTAAGGAATTATGCTTCCCAGGCTTTATCCTACAGGAACAGGAGGAGGAAGACTATACACAATGTGTGTGTCTTTTTCAACACATATGTCAGGAAGTTCTTCCCTTGCTTTGCTCTGCTTAAATAGCCCAGAGAAAGTTTTTAATACTTGGCCATGTTGTTATAATCCAGGTCAGGAGAAGATAGACAAAAGGCTTTCTGTCAGAGCCCTTCTTCCCAGGGTTCCCCCATAAAAGAGAATTGTCACAGATTGCCATCAGTCAGGATGTCCCAAAGGTGCTTTTGAAAGAGCACCTACTAGTCTTTCTTCATTTTATTACTTGGTCTGTTGTGTGGATGTTTGGGTGGTTTAGGGGTGGGGAATTGTGGTGGGTAAGAGTGTGTTTGGGGATTATATGTGTGGGACCTGGTCTTTGGGTGTCAAGTAAATTCCATGTGTATACTGTGTATACACATACAATGACAATAAAGTTTATTATTGTTTATATTATTGTTTTTTTTCCTTGAAGACATTTTGCTTCTCATCCAAGAAGCTTCTTCAGTTCTAACAGAATTGAGCTCTACGTTAGAACTGAAGAAGCCTCTGGGATGAGAAGCGAAACGTCTTCAAGGAAAAAACAAAGGAAGTCCAGTTGCCTTTTGAAAAGCATCTTTGGG